CATAGGTAATACACTCTTTGACATCAATCTTAGCAATATTTTATAGGACAGGTCTCCTCAGGTAAGGGCAGCAAAAGCTAAAAATAAACAAACAGGAGTACTTCAAACTGAAAAGCTTTTGCACAGTGCAGGAACTAGCAACAAAGTGAAAAGGTACGTTACTGAATAGGAGAAGATATTTGTAAATCATACATCCAATAAAGGGTTAATCTCCAAAATATCCCAAGAACTCATAAAACTCAACATCAAACAAGACAAACAACCTGATTGAAAAATGGGCAGAGGACCTGAATATCCATTTTCCAAAAAGGACATACATGAAAAGATGCTCAACTTCACCAATCACCAGGGAAATGCAAATCAAAACCACAACAAGATAGCACCTCTCATCTGTCAGAATGGCCATCATCAAAAGGACAATAAATTATAAGTGCTGGCAGTATGTGGAGAAAAGAGAACCCTCACGATTGGTTGGTGGGAATGTAAATGGGTACAGCACTCTGGAAAACAGTATGGAGGTTCTTGAAAAAAATTAAGAATAGAACTATCATATGATTCAGCAATGTTGCTTCTGGTCTTTTCCCAAAGAAAACAAAAACAATCATTTAAAAAGGTATACACACCCCAAGTTCACTGCAGCATTATTTATTATATACAATAGGAAACAGTATTGTATACAATAGGAAAGATATGGAAGCAATCTGAGTGTCCATTAATGGATGAATGGATAACGATGTGTGTATGTGTGCGCATGTGTATACACACACACATATATAGTGGACTATTACTCAATCATTAAAAAAATCTTGCCATTTGTTACAATATGGATGGACCTAGAAGGTATTATACTTAGTGAAATAAGTCAGAGAGAGAAAGACAAATACTATACGGTTTCACTTACATGTGGAATCTAAAAAACAAAACAAATGAACAAATCAAAACAAAAACAGACTCAAAAGTACAGACAATAAATGGGTGGTTGCCAAAGGGGAGGGGATGGGGAATGGACAAAATAGGTGAAGGGGATTAAGCAGTATAAACTTCCAGCTATAAAATTAATAAGTTACAAGAATGTAATATACAGCATGGGGAATACAGTCAATAATATTGGAATAATTTTTTATGGTGACAGATGGTAACTAGACATATCAAGGAGATCATTTTGTAATTTATAAAAATATCAAATCACTATGTTGTGCATCTGAAAGTAATGGAATATCGTAAGTCAGTTATACTTAAATAGTTTTTAAAAAGACAGCTGGGTTCACTTCATCGCTACAACGCAGTTCAGATAGCAATAAGTTTCAAATTTTATTTTCCTTGATGATGCTCTGAACACTTAGGTCTCCCTTCAGGATTGTGTAGGTTGTAATTGTCTGTGTAGGTTGTAATGAGGCTACTCTCTCAGTTTCGAATCCACCTTTCTAGTCGCTGAGGCCAGGACTCTGCAAACGACATTTCCGCTCTCCACCTGGCTCCCTGGTAGGTTTCTCTAGTACCAGGAACCGCACCGGAAGGATGCTGGCAGCAGGAAGAGGAAGAGGACTTCTCGTTTCCCACCTTTCATGTCAGCGAGAACTTAGTTATGCTTCTTCATCCCAGCAGGGGCAGCAGATTTCAGGAGCAATGGTTGATGTCCAGCTGGAAGTTTCTAAAAATTTCCAGGACCCACGTCACTGTGCCCCTCAGAGGCAACAGCAGCAGCAGCCTGCCAAACTTCTCTCTTCAGGGTTTTGGATTCCACCTCAACAGGGCTCTCCACCAAGCTTTAAAACTTTAAATCCCAAACTCTTTGTTCCCCCAGGCCTCAGGGTGATAGCTGCTTCTGGTGCTTACAACCTCCCTGATAACTTCGTGTTCCTTTTTTTTTTTTTTTTGTCTTTTCAGCCCTCAGTACCCCATTTACAATTCTTTATATTAAATTTTCTTTGTTAATATTACTGGAATAGTTTCTGCTTCCCGACAACCACCCCAAATAAATCTCCTTATTCTGCTCCACCACTACTTGTGCCCTTCAACGTAAATTATAAATTAATGAATAAACACATACTTTTTTTCTGTTTTCCACTTGTTTGTAAGCTTCATGAGGGCAGGAGTCATGTGTTTTATCACAGAGTGCTAGTGGTACACAGTGGGTGACACCTAGAAGATACTCATTTAATACTTGTTCGATGAATCAATGAATGAATGGATAATTTCAGTTATTGGTGGCTTGATACCTAAATTCCATGAGAAATTTATCATCAGTGAATTCAATTTTGTACCTGATTAACTTCAAGTGACCTTGAGACATCCTACACAGTGGGCAGAATAATAGCTCCCCAAAGATGTCCACATCCAATTCCCTAGAACCTGCAAATATATTACTTCACATAGGAGAAAAAAAAAAAGACTTTGCAGACATGATTAGTTAAGGCTCTTGAGATGACATTATCCTTGATTATCCAGGTGGACCCAATGTAATTACCAGGGTCCTAAGTGAAAGGAGGGAGCAGGAGAGTCAGAGAAGATACAATGCAATAATAGAGGTCAGGGTGATATGCCCCTGAGTCAAGGAATGAGGGCAGTCTCCAGCAGGTGAAAGACAAGGAAGTAGATTCCCCCCTAGAGTCTCTGGAAAGAACACACTGCTGGCCTCTAGAATTGTTAAGATAATAAATTTGTGTTGTGTTGTTACAAACCACTAAGTTTGTGGTCATTTGTTACAGCAGCAATTAAAAAACAAATACACCTGGTGGAGAAGTCCAACAGGCTGCGGGTTATGCTGGCCTGGTGCTCAAAAGAGAGATAGGGACCAGAGATGGGGGCATCAGACTTTTCAGCACACATGCAATAGTTACAGCTGTGAGAGTAGCTGAGATCACAAAGGACAAAGCGAGTGTTTAGAGTAACAGGTGAAATGAACCAGTGGTTTGAGGCCTCAGTAAGAGGTGTTATGAGATGTTAATGGATAGTGCCTTTCCCCACACCTGCATTTTGTTCAGTTGTATTAGGAAGAGAGGAAGGCAGCAGGGGGAGGGAAGCAAAGCAGCTAGGTACACAAAAAATGAATTTTAGAACCTTGTCCACAACCAGACGACAGACAAATAACAATCATGCACACAGCATTTACTGTCACTCAACAGTGCCTGGAGATTCCACCCTATTTCCTCAGGATATTTGTTTCCCCTATTTTACACCTTCTCTCTTTTCAAATTCCCTACACCCCACCCTTCCCCTCTCTGACTTTCCAGTGATCATCCTGCCTCTTATTCACAAGAAAAATCAAAGCAAATCAGAAAAGAATGCCTGCCTTCATTTGTCTTCTGTATCTTCCACATCATCACTGTGTACCTGCATCTACCTTATAGGCTGTCACTATGGATAAAGCATCCTGCCTACTAAAGGTCAACCCCTCCATTTGTGCACTGGATCTCTTCCCCTTCTTACCTTGCCCTTGGAAACCTCCTCACCCTCTCCATCATCAATTTCTCTCTTTCCACCTACAAGTATATCTTAGTATGTGCCATCTTTAAAATGTCCTCCACTGACTACACAGCCTTATCCCATTATTGACCCAAGTTGCCTATAGTCTCCATTTCTTCTCCTTACATTCACCTCTCAGACCATTCCAGACAGTCTCTGAATCTCAATCCTGCCCTGAGATTGCTCTCGTCAAGGCTACGTAACCTCCATATTGCTGAATCTTAACACCTGTGGCTTCTGTGTTACCACATTCTCCTCCTGCCTCAGTGATTTGTCTTCCTCTTCTACTTGACCTCCGCATGAAGGGTTCTAGAGCTTTGTCTCTGGCCCCTTTATCTTTGTTAAGCTACATACTTTCCTGAGTCATCCAATCAGTCCCAAAACTTTAGAGTTTATTTATCATGACCATGACTCTGGTTTTTCCAAATGCCTACCTGATATCATGGGTGTCTAAAAAGTATCTCCAATTTAACATGACCAAACCGCAACTCTTGATCTCCCTCTTCCCAATCGGTTCTTCCCAATTTTCACATCTTATAAATGGCACCACCACCTGCACAATTTTTCAACTCAAATATCTAGAAGTTATCCTTGAGTGTTTCTAACAAACTCAACATCCAATCCATTGGCAAGTCCTGTAGACCCTACTTCCAAAATATTCCAAATCTAATTTCTTCAGTGTCCCCCACTAACTCCAATATCCAAGCCACTTTTTGGTGTGCACTTGTGGAATAGCTTCCTAATGGCTTGAATCAATTAGCTTTGCTGATACCTTTTAATGGGGTATCTGTCGGCTTGTATCTGTGGGGCCGGTTTTTTGTCATTCAGAGCTCAGCTTAAATAAACCTCACCTGGTAACCAAGACCTTCCTGCTGCACCAAATCTGAGGAAACTCTTGATCACTTCATCCTATTTTAACTCTTTACAAAGCAAAGGTCACCGATAATTTATTTGTCCTCCTTCCCGTTAATTTCTCTATTCCCCAGGATCTACAACACTTCCTGACAAAAGACAGGCACATAACATTTCTGGGGGGGGGTAGGTAAACAAAGTTTATTCCAGGAAGAACAACTCATTGAGATAAAACCGTTTTAAAATTTACATATATGTACCGCTCACTGTTTATAAGAACAGTTGACAGCTTTAGCTTTTTAAGCTTAGTTATCAAAGGAATAAAGCCAACTACAAAATAAGAATCAACAGAATACAGTAATACAATCATAAAGCAGTCAAATGTGCTTACACATGTTCAACTGCAACTTTTTTTAAATGAACGCAAAAGCACCTACTGTGTTCTAGGATTGTGCTAATCTATGAGTGCTGTACTCTTCCCATCTCAGCAGAGAAGTAGAAAATATAAAATTCCATAGAGGATTAACTGGATGCACACTACACCCCTTCCCCCACCCGCCTTTCTCTATTACCCCACCCCTCCCCTTGCAAAAAAAAAAAGTGACGAGGGACTTGAAAAACAGGGTCAACGCTATGTTTTCGCCACGTTTCTCTTCATGGAGCTCGACGCAACAGAAACTAACCGTAGCAGCAGCGAAGTGGGTTGCAGGTAGAAGACCTCACCGCCCTCAAGGACGGACAGCAAGGGCTCGAGTGCTGACCGCGAGCACTGCATGCTGGGAACTGTAGTCTCCCGGGAAGGCCTGGCCCGCCGCGCCGGGCCCCCGCAGCATGCTGGGAGCTGTCGTCCACGGCCCCGAGGAAGGACCGCATTACTGAGACTCCGCCTCTGCGCTTCCTCACTGCATGCTGGGAACTATAGTCTTTCTGGGACCCTGGTCCTCCCGGGCGGAGAAGGCTGAGACTACGCCATCTTAGGTCCGAGCGCAGCAGAGGAGGCCAGAG